ATGCGGCAGAGCGATAAAAACAAGTTTTGTGATAGTGATAAGAAGAGTTGAAGTGTAAACAAGTTAATTTGCGTGCATAAGACGCGTTGAATTTGCGAATAATAGAATTATGCATTTATTTCAAGAATAAAAATTTAATACAGAACGCGCGCTTATTGCAAATTAAATATTAATTAAGAAAAATTATAAATAAATGATAAATGCATGGAGAATAATTATTTTAACAGAAAAAAATCGAAAAAATGTAATACTGTCCAAATATGAAAAATCTGAGCAATCTGAGCAAAGAACTCAACACTGACGTCATGCATAATGGCGCGAATTTTGAAATCATAACCTAAAATGTTAGTTTTTCCACAATAAACCAAAATTTCCCCAAAAATAACCTAAATTCATATAAAAATCCCTTTTTTAATCAAAAAACTTTGAAAATAAAACAATTTTTTGTTTTTCTGTAAATTTTTATATTAATTAATGTTTTTGCTAAAATAAATCGCAATCCACGCAATAACCATCGAGATAATTGCACATAAAGCATGAAAAAATATTTGTTTCACCAGTAATTAACTCGTTATGTAAATTTTAGCGCGTAAAAAGACTTGATAACACTCGGTAAAATTAAATTCCGTCATAATTAACTTTCGAATGGCTCGTTGAAGCGCCAACACATTGAAATCGACAACAAGCTACAGCTCCCCAGCGCCGTGTGTCTTTTATTCGGTTGATATTCTCTCATTATACAAATTCTATAGAATAGACTTGAGTATAGAGAGACCGCCATGCTCACTAAACTTCTAAACTATGCAACTGTTGAAAACTTCCCAACACTGTGCATCGTAACCCAACAATCGCGGTGCGCAACGCAAATTAATTACAAATTGCATTATTATTGCAATAATAATTTAATAAATTATTGAATGATTAACTCACTCAGTAATATTTATTAATATAGTGAATATTATTACTAAATGAATAAAGTTGAATACACGGATAGTTGTTTCTGATTCAGTGATTATTAATAATTAAATTTTATTTTATGTATGTATAGAAATAGAAATAATTACTGTACAGTAAAGTAAGTAATATCACATGTTGATTGAAAGTGTGCGGCGTGTGCGCAGTGGAAGTTGGCTTAGCGTCTAGGTGTACTTTCGAATGAACGTTCCAGTTTACAGCACGAAATGCATGCCATATAAGTGGAAGTAAACTATATTACTTGCTCTAGTATAACGATTTTATAGTTGCTTATTTTTTTTATCAAAGTCTAAGTGTAAAAGTAAGTGTGGGAAGTTATGTAATTGACGGAAAAATATGCAAATGTGCTGAAAGTATCCAATGAATTAACTAATTTGATATGGAGACAATAATAGACTTAAATCTAGTATTTTAGTTAAAGTAATGATGGAGGTTACTTAAGTAAAGTCATAAAAGCATCAGCATAGGAAAATGAAGCTCCTAAAATGAATAATTTAATATTCTCTTACAACATTCATAATTGATTGTAATAATTGCAACAAAAAGGTGGTAATTATTCTGTAAAACATAAAGAAATAAATTTTGCACGTGAAACTATCTCTCTAGTTATGGATTGCCTTAAAATGTTCGTAATTTCGCATAATATGACTTAAGTTTAATTATTAATTAACTTAAGACGACATTTCTTCATAAAGACATAAAAATATTATTATAATGTTAATAATAATACTTTTATGTAAAGTCAAATACGCCATGACGGATATGACTTAAGTAAAGTCATAAAATAACAAACTTTGCAATACAACACCAACTAAACTCGTAAAATCATTAAACTTAGAACATACATAACTAATTACACTAATACCCTTCTAATTCCACTTATTCTAGTTTAAATTCTCTCAAACACACATTGATAAATCACCTAGCGTCGAGAATCGAGAGTGTTAGACATTATTAAGATATCAATCAATCCGTTCGCACCCAACTGCAACCAAAACCAACCAACACTAAACATAATTCAGTAGTTGTCTAATCGTCTGCAGTCTAAGTCTCTAAACTTTAATCTAATACCTTACTGAGTAACATATCCGAAAGGCGTTGCTGTTGCTGTTGCATGTCGACGAGTTAAACTATATACAAGTTAATAAATGACAAAAGAAATGGACAACAGATTATGTGTTACCGAACGGTGAATGGCTCGGGCAATATGGTCCAGGCTGAGCGTTTGGTTTGTCATTGTGAACAGCACTTATGTAAAGTCCGAAGTAAAAGTAAAATGTGTCGAAATGACAACAACCCGACCAGTCCACCGACCACCCGAGTCGATTACATATGAATTATGTGTCTCTCGCGCACACGTTCACATTTTACGACGTTTATTCTTGAATGAGTTTATAGAATAGACTTCAGAAATTGATTTGAATTGCTGGGTATTGTTGTATTCACGTAATCGCCAAATCAGTCCACAGATACACACGCAGGTTATGTCGTGTAGTCGTGATCTGTCAGTTTGCAACTTTCTAACATTTCTATCTATCAAATTATGTGTAACAGGTCACAATCTGGTCACGATATGGTAATACAATTAAAATTATGATAGTTTTTGAGGTGAAATTCACGTTTTTCAATCGGATTTTATACCCAATACCAACGCATCGTTGAATAAATAAATATTCCTCAAATGTCAAGATTTCGTTAATAATAATTGACATTTCAGCCGAAATTGGTGCACAAGTTTCGTCATTGAATTCAATTCGTTGAAGCAGAAAAAAAAACAAGCAAAAACCTTACCTAACCTTCTATATTTTTTAGATCAAATAACTTAAGTCATTAAAGTGTGACTTAAGTAAATAAAAATTCCTAGTTTACGCTAAAATACTTAAAATACCAGTTTGGTGCAAATTTCTTCGTGCTCGAGATTTTTTTGCACTCGTTTCTGATATTTATCGCCATTTCAAGGTTTCAACACTACATAAGCTACTTTAAAATTGTTCAAATTTTTAAGCACAACACGTGCTGCCATTTCCTATTTAAAAACAAAAATTTTATTGCTTTAATTAACTTTTATCGTTAAAATAACTAACAATTTCATCTAAAAACTTCTTCCTTGGTTAAAAAAGAAATTATGCAATGTTATAATACTTTAAAATCCATTAAAATCATCATTTTGAGTATTTGTCTTCCATTAGGATGTTGTAGTTACACTCGAACGCCATCTAGTGAGTAGCTCATGAAGTACGTACGCACATGTCGCGGAATTTACATAATAGAAAGTCACATTGCAAGCGTGCACGATTGTGACCTAAATATGCGCATAAAAACGTTACACTTAACGCAGAAAAAACATTATTTTTATTTTAAGGTTAAATTGAGTAAACATAGGTTACCATCGCGAATCTGACGATGATGCTTCACTTTCTCCGCAATTGATTTGTGCTCGTGATGTACTTTTTCTTAATCGCTTGCAATTTTATCGCTTCAATCGTCACGCCGGTGACAAAATGGCGTGAAACAATCGACGATCACACCAGTGACACGCTCAATCTATTCTGAGAAGTGTTTAGACTTTCTCTGACTCAAAATATCACAATCTATAAATTACAAGTTGTATCTAGTTAATATCAGTGCGTAGATGGCGCCACTTTGGTGGATTTTGTGCAATACTTTTTTCTGCATTGTGTTGCGCTTGAATACGTCATGTTGCAATTGTTGTTAATTTTTTTTCGCGTTGCTTGTCCGCGGAATTATAACAAATTGCACTTTTGCAACGCGTTTGCGCTAAACAAACGATGATTATGCTGGCGGTGCTGGTGTTGTTCGGTTGCGAAAACAAAAATTAAACTAATTTATTGTCGGCGCAATTTTCACAACATTGCCAAGACGCCAAGTTTCCAACGGGCGTAAATTGTAAATCACTTGTGCATTTATTACCATTTTAATACGCGTCGGATACGATACGAATTCAATTGGTATTCGAACGGTGAATGCGTTCATAGAAAAGCGCCGTGAACCTTGAGAACGAAAACGACGATGAAAAGATTTAGATTTCCAAGCAAACAAACGAACAACGTCGACAACAAGCGACTCGCGATTGTTTCGTTTTCAAAACCGTTCAATTTTTTCATCGTTAAACTAGCACTTCAGCAAAGGAAATAGTTCAAAGAGTATGATTGCACATTTCAAATACTTTGTGTTGAGTATTTATATTATTATAACAACAAGTTAATAAAATTATAACGCTGGCGGTGCAATGGAGATAATCGTGCGTGTTGAAAGTGCGCATAGAATTGTGGGGTTATGTCAGGTAAAATTTACGCCGCATAAATCATCTGATTATATTTGAATCAGAGTAGTGCTCATGTGGTATTATATCTCGGATGAAAGATTATGGAAATGTCTAACAGATTTTATAACTTACTGCGTTGCTAGATGGGTTTTTTTTGAAAAACTTAAAATTAGGTGGACAGGAACTGTGCTTGTAAACGCCTGAGTCACTACATGTATAGGCAACCTAACATACACCAAAAATAAACCCAGCCGTGTATAAAAAGAATTGTCGCGGCAATAACGCGGCAAGTTGCGAACAGAATTGTGGGGTTATGTCAGTTATAACTTTCACCAAATAAGTCAAGAGATTACATTTGAATCCGACTAATGTCCACGTATACGAATATTAATAAGAATAGATAATGCCTTTGTCTAACGATTTTTATAACTTACTGCATTGCTGGCTTGGTTTTGGTTTGGAAAAACTTAATATTTGGGTAGACAGGAACTGTGCTTTTAAACGTCTGTGTCACTACATGTATAGGCAACCTAACATACACCAAAAATTAACCAAGCCGCGTATAGAAAGAATTGTCGCGACAATAATGCGGCAAGTTGCAAACAGAATTGTAGGGTTATGTCAGTTATAATTTTCACCAAATAAATCAACAGATTGCAGTTGAATCCGACTTATTCCGATGTATCAGAATACCGTTAAGGGTAGATAATTTAATTGTATACTGATTTTGACAACTTACTGCGTTGGCTGAAGGGTTTTTCTTAGTGAAAACTTCATTTTCGCCTGGACCCCACACGCTGTTACCAACACTTGAATCACGACATGAATAGGCAACCAAAAATACACCTGAAAACACACAAAAATCAAAACCAAGTGTTTCAAACAATAAAAACAACATTTTTATTAAAAACCTTGGAAATTAATTAATGTACCTTAATTAAATAATGCAAAATAGCCATAAATAATAAATTCAACGTAAAACAATGTAATTCGAATGCTGTTTCACGATATTTCTTGTATATTTATGATTTTTATTGCTTTGACGTGTTTGCATGTTGAAAAAGTGAAACTTGTTACACTTTATGTTAGATCCGCGCAATTGTGCGCTCGATTACGCTCTTGGTGTTCGTACATTGTATGCAGTTGTATTGTGATTGCAATATGGCTGCACGCCTGACCCACTAACCTTTATCACGCGCGCCGACAATAAATTCAATGCATTCACTCAACATACAATCAAACAAAGTCGAAACATAACCACAATAAACCATTATGACTGCGTAACCTGTCCACGCATACACAAACAAACAAAAATAAATTTTAAAAAAAAACATAACCAAACATTTTGTCTACAGGTTTCTGTACGGCACAGAGAAAACTACCCCGCACGCAACCGGTGACAACCGAAGTAAAAACGGGGGTGAATTTCGACTGTCCGGAAGAATTCGGCTACTACCCACACCCTACTGACTGCACACAGTATTATGTGTGTGTGTTCGGCGGAGCATTGCTTGAATCATGCACTGGGGGATTGATGTACAGTCATGAACTGCAGACCTGTGATTGGCCAAGAAATGTAGGGTGCGATGCTGGTGAAGTAAGTGCTGCCACCGCAGCGGCAACTTCACCACCTGCTAGTACCCAACAACACACACGTCAAAGGTATACTCCCCCACCACCACCTCCACAACCCGCCGCCATTGTTACCTCCAGGGGTCAACCGAGACAACTTCATCATCAGCAACAACAACAACAACAACAGGATATCATCAAAGTAAATTATTAATTTATTAAAAGAATAAGAAGTGAAAAATTGAGGTTATGTATGTTTAGCAACAGCAATTGTATGAAGATGCCGAAGAAACACTTCCACCAGCTGAAGAAGTTGAGAGTGATCGTCAACAGAGGGTCTACCGTGGTCAACCCTCTACAATTGGACAAGTTCAACGCGATAGAGATGGTTTAAGAAATTCTAACGCAATTCCAGTAAGTTAAAACAAAAGAATACTTAATACTTAAGTTAAGTCACTTAAACTCTACTTAAATGTCAATAGACTTATAGTGGAAGAGCTGAGAAGATCGGCATCATCTCATTCGGAACTGGTCAACAGCAAGCAGCTCAACCGATCCAACAATACAGGTAAGAGTCCAAATGACTTAAGTCAACTCAATGATGAATAAACAATGTTTAGCCCTGAGATAAACTTAATTGACGTGACAAATGACTTACGCCGACGACGCAGACGCAAAAGACAAGCGCCATCCTCACCAAGAAGGTAAACTTTGAAGGATACTTGACTTAATCGAGTACTATACTAAGTCAATGACTTCGGTGACTTAGTGACATGACTTTGTTGATTCACAGTCGTCTTCAAGACAACGCGACGCCTTGGCATGGCAAAATGGCCTTTGCGATATCGCGACCCACAAATCATCATCACCATCATCCTAACCCTCATGGTCCCACCCATCCTCAATCAGTAGTGCATAAATTTCACGTGAGCAGTTTTAATTATCAACCTGGGAAGCAGGATGATTTCCAGCCTTTTATACCTGCGTATCAGCAGACATCTCAGGGTCAACCAGGTCAACATGGGTCACATAACCCTCAAAGGGTTAAACCTGTGGGTGGTCTTCCCAAAAAGTTGAAAAATGAAAATTTTGCGTTTTTTAACATTCAGTATGTGCCTAAGGGATTGACCACAACTACTTTGAAATATCCTCAGTATTTCAATGCTCCTCATGTGGGTGGTAAACAACAGTCACCTTCACCCTTTGGTTTAACAAATTTAAAGGAACCCCCGGGTGGTTCTAGTAGCTTCAGCCATTTTGGGACATTTGATGTGTTTAATAAGAAAGAAACTGAAGCGATAACCAAAAAATACCGAAATGACCTTCATCAAGGTGACCCGCATAAAATAACCCCCAGACCTCAGGATATCAAATTAAACTCAACCCAAGTGAAACCAGAGTTTTTATCACCTCCGAAATTGAATCTCGAAGAGGTCCTAGAAAGGATCCGTGAGAATCAACGAGCAAAAGTGAATCAGACTGTTGTAACACACTACACGACCTCGCGACCGTTACGCGTTGGTAACCTTAATGACGAATACTACTATTACGACTACGAGGACGATGACGATGTTGACGCAGACGATGACAAAAAGGTCACATCTGCATATTCTAGTCACAAAAATCAATCAACATCCAATCATCCCGAAAATTCCAGTGGGGAGGTTTAGCTGATGATGAAGAATATTACTACGAAGAGTATGATTACCCCGAGACCACACCTTCAATCTCCCCTGAAGAGAAATCAAAATGGGAGACGAAATATTCATCAAGATATAATGAAAAACTTCAGAATATTACTATGACCACACAACCTCCCAAACAGTTTATTAAGCTGCATAATCATAAAATGACCACTGGTATTCCCATAACCACCATACCACCAACTAAACCACCGAAAAATAAATTCTACATCACTAAAAACCCTTCCCCTGCAAAAACCCCAAAAGTTTTCCTTGAAATAATGTCTACTACTACAACAATGGCCTCACCACCTCAGATGAAGTACACGGTACGACAAAGACAACGTGGGTCAATCCGGACGACCACACCAGCAATGGTCAAGCAACGTGTCAAGACCCGACATAGACAAACGACGAATAAACGTATTAATGACCATGACACACGTTTAGTTGACGACCAGACCGCCAACAGGTAATGACAACTGGACCAATCTGAAATGTTTAACCTTTTACACACATGTGACCTTTAATGACCTTTAAAGACCAATTTATCTAGCGTAAAGCACCACACCTACAACCTACATGTTTCACATGGTGATAAATGTCAATATGTATGTTATTTGTAACAGAGTGGAAGTAACCAGTGCGGGTCCAGCCCAATCATCATCATCAGTCACCGCTGCTACCAGAGCCCTCTATAATGGAACACATTATAATGACCCACAATTTGATCCTTATTACAACCTGTATGAAGATGATGTTGAATTGTATAGAGATGTTGATTATTCTCAGCAATACAACAACAACAATGGTAATACTTATAGGGGAACACCCACACCAGCAGTTCAGACATCAACCACCGATGAACCCAAACGAGGAAATTCTTATATACAGAATTATAATCAAGATATCTATCAGAATAGCAACGTGGGTGATTATAATGAAGATAACAGGTTTAACACTCAGGATGATCAGAGTTATAGGCAACCCACAAGACAACAGATCAGGTATGTCAGGGGTTTGAGTTTAAGTTGTGTTTTTTTTTTGTTTGTTGTTTGTATATATGAATGTTGAGTGATGATGAGTCGATGTTTAGGACCGAGGAACCCATCCAACGAACAACAACAACCACCACTACTACCACCAGCCCAAGACCTGTCACTTTCACTTATTCGAGCACCACACCCTTGGCAAGGTACTACAACAATTTGAATTGGCATTCAAAACCAAACAGAAAAAAAAAAAACAAAAACATTTATATACAAATTGTGGTATCTTATCATTTATCATGATATTGCACACTCCAATTACCCATCCGAACAAATAGGGCAGATTTGTGTGTAGGTTCAGTGTGCGGATTTGAAGGGTGTTGCTGATCTATGTGTGGAATTTGTTGTTAACAGATCCGATGCGAATCAAACACGAGCACAGTCATTACCTAATACATTACCGGACAACCCGGGACACACGCTTCCATCACGTTCCCAAACCATCAACAACATAACCTCGATTGCGGGTGTGAAAGCAAACGAATCGAGTGTGAATCTGATTGACCGTAGACTGGACACTGTCCCGACTGCACCCGTGACGTACAGACCTAAATATCCTCTTGATACATTACCGGATGCCAGTGTACATAACCTGGTACGTTCGGCGGTTGTCAATCAACCATCTCCTTTCACTCCATCAACGACAACTACACCAGCCCCTATTACCACAACAACTGCGGTTACTTATTATTTGACAAAAGGGTTCAAGTCAACATCATTCTCGAATTTGGATGATTATCCATCGCGACCTGCGGAATACCTCAAGAGAAAGATGTATTATATTCGGAATATAGATATAGCTCCAACCACTTATGCCCCACCAAAATTCTTCCTGAAATCTTTACTTAAGTCAGATTTGAATAATACTGAACCAACCCAGCAGGAATATGTTATTAAATCAAATGGGATCAAAACTATCCGGAAGTATATCAACCCTATAGCTATCAATAATGTATTTGCTAGTAGTACTGAATTATACCCGGGATCAATTGAGGATCAGAGTAGTGAAAGGGAGAGGAATATTGCCTGGCGTGGTAAAGTGAGATTTCCCAGTGTTAGTATTGGTGCTGATGAGGTGACCACCTATAGATATTCCATACCTATTCCTTTACCTACAACAACAACTCCTGGTACCACTACAACAACAACTACTACTACCACAACAACAACTCCTCTTCCTCCCCAAAGGACCAATTACCAAACCACTGAACAATACCGTCATTATGTTGAACCCTCCCAAAATACCAAAACACTGTCGAGGTACCCCAGTTCCATCAATTGTTTGATGATGACGAACCATTGAAACCCATCCCTGATCAACTTCCTTCCTACAAACCTAAACCAGTGGTACCTAAGTTTATTCCGACTACTGCTGGTGTTACTGACGATGACGATTACCCTTCCACGACCAAGACCGTACCAGTTTCTTCTCTTGGTTCAACTCCTAACCCTGTAACCCCGTCACGAGTCTCCCGGGTGAACGCCGCGATCAAGTCGATGATCGGAGTGAGCGCAGCTCGCGGCCGGCCCATTAGCAAATGTACAGAGGGAAACCTTAAATGCAGCGAATTGAAGCAGAGGTACACCACTTCATCATCTTCTAATTTTTATTCTAGAGTGTCGAGTATTTTATTTTATTTTTGTTTTTATTTTGCATGTGTTATATGCACTGCCTGTTGATCTGTTTATTGATGATTTGATTTGATTCTCTATTATATTGCACCAATATCTTTCGATATTAACTGTAAACCCACAAAACGGAAGTGAAACATGAAAAAAACTGACGAACGTTTTAGAACAAAGTCCTGTGACCTACGGATGTTGACTGAACCCTTTTTTAAAATGATATCCACCCATACCTTTGACATGGCACACCTAACACGTATTAGTAATGCTGTCAAATATCAATTTTTTATTTTTTATTTTTTTATTTTTTTATCACCCAGTAGATTGTTGTATTCGTTATTGTTAACCTGCATGGTAGTTTTTTTGTGAGTTGTTTTGGTTAGAGGGACACCACATAATCTGCACCTGAATCGAATTCGCACCCTTAAAATAGATTTGCACTTCATTGATACCCTTGGATCAATGTTTGATGGTGTTTCTGTATCTTACAGAACTCAGACACAATCTGTGGGTAGAACACGTGGTTCTGCGCATTACACCGCCGCCAATCAAGTCAGCAACAATCAAGAAACTGTTAATCGCGGCACACCACCTTCGTAAGTGGACATACCAGATACAAAAAACACTTTTACACTTTTCACATATTTCTAAAAATATTAAAGATGGTATTGATGTAAATGGTGTTGATTTATAGACGTTCTCGTCCGACGTTGAAACCCTCAACATCGATCGTCTCGAAAGCTCAGGAGTTTGTTGATGTCTACCGGTTCCCACCACGTAGACCCGACTCTATCTATCCTCAACCCCAACCGGATAAAACCGCTGCCAAGTGTAGGAAAGATGTTTGTCTCCTTCCGGATTGTAGTTGTGGTGGAAAGGAAATTCCTGGTATGTTTTTTTCTAATTTTTTTTCAAATTTAAAAATTTTGATGTTTTGGTGGTATGTGTGTTTAAAATGATTGCCAACTAAATATTAGGAGATCTACCTGTTGAGGAGGTACCCCAAATGGTCCTGATGACGTTCGACGATGCCGTCAACGACCTGAATCAATTGTATTACAGAGAGTTGTTCGATAACAACAGGGTCAACCCAAACGGGTGCCCAATTTCAGCAACCTTCTACGTCTCACATGAATGGACCGATTACAGCCAGGTGCAGAATTTATACGCAGATGGTCATGAATTGGCTTCGCACACAGTGTCGTAAGTGGGATGTCCCAACCCCCATGGCGCAAAATGGTGGACCTACCTGATTCGGCTATACTTGTACTTCTTGTACTTCTTTCCATTGTGCTTTGCAAATGATAGCTAACCACGTGTATCTCTTTATTTCCAATTCCGCCCAACCTTCCGTGTGCGTGTACTAACCACCACCAACCATAGGCGACGTACCCGTTGATCAGGTGCCCCAAATCGTCCTGCTGACCTTCGACGATTCGGTGAACGACCTCAACAAGGGCCTGTACTCGGACCTCTTCGAAAAGGGTCGTGTTAACCCCAATGGATGCCCCATTGCGGCCACTTTCTACGTCTCGCACGAATGGACCGATTACAGCCAGGTCCAGAACCTCTACTCCGATGGTCATGAATTGGCCTCGCACACTGTGTCGTAAGTCACCCACATCCACAGACAAATTCGAGTGGACAGCACTTCTGGTAGCACCAACAATCAACAAAAACAACCAGCACCTCACAACAGACACCTAACCCTAAATATGACCCGCTTTAGTCTAGTTACAAGTAGTAGCTTAACATACTGCACAATATGCTTCTGGTCTAGTGGGTTTCAATATTAATAACACCAAAATGCTTTTTATCAATTTTTACCAAAAAACCATCACATATAACCTCAATTCAAGACAAAACACTAAAAATTTGGGTTTTCAATAGGCATTCATTCGGGGAGCAATTCTCACAAAAGAAATGGACTAGGGAGGTAGCGGGTCAACGTGAGATCCTCGCCGCGTATGGCGGAGTGAAACTCGAAGATGTCCGAGGAATGCGCGCACCTTTCCTCTCAGTGGGCGGAAACAAAATGTTTAAGATGTTGTATGACTCCAACTTTACCTACGACTCCTCCATGCCCATCTACGAAAACAAACCACCAAGCTGGCCGTATACCCTGGACTACAAACTGTTCCACGATTGTATGATCCCACCATGCCCAACAAGGTCCTACCCAGGAGTCTGGGAGGTACCTATGGTCATGTGGCAGGACCTGAATGGTGGACGTTGTTCCATGGGTGATGCTTGTAGTAATCCAGGGGAATCCGAAGGTGTCTTCAAGATGTTGATGAAGAACTTTGATAGACATTACACAACCAATAGGTATGTCTCCCAAATAAAGGTTTTGAGGTTATTTAATGAGTGTTTTTACAGGGCACCATTTGGTTTGTTTTACCATGCGGCTTGGTTCACTCAACCACATCACAAAGCTGGTTTCATTCAATTCTGGACACAATCAATCAAATGAAGGATGTTTTCTTGGTTACAAACTGGCAGGCTATTCAATGGGTGCGGGATCCAACACCCATGTCACGCATCAACAACTTCCAACCCTTCCAGTGCAATTATTCCGTAAGATAACCTCAAAAAATGAATTTTTAGGTTTTAAAGCGTTAAATTTTGTAGGATCGACCAAAACGTTGTAACAATCCAAAAGTATGCAACTTGTGGCACAAATCAGGGGTGCGATACATGCGCACATGCCAACCCTGTCCAGATATCTACCCATGGACAGGCAACACCGGCATCCGCAGCAGCAGAATCGACAACGACATCGAAGATTAAACATAAACAACATTCGAATATCTCAACTCGCGATGTCGGCACACGGCTTAAATTATTAGTTAGCTGGTAGTAACTAGAGTTGCCCACCACCCCTGAGTTGCGAGATAATAATATATTTTTTATATTTATACCAAGTTGCCAGATGTTACTAAGGTGTCTTGCGCCGTCGCACACACATACCTTAGTAACATCACTTAAGGATAGTTCGTAATTTTGTACATACATACGCGTAGAGTCGTAAGAAAACATTAAATGATCAGAACATCAAACGCCTACAGTAGGTTCTAAGTAAGCAATTAATTAAGTAACTTAAGCAAATGTGTGGATTAATATAATTCGAGCGGAATTCTTTGCGATATTCTTGGCCACGATCCAAGCCATGTAGGAAATTTCAAGATTAATTAATACTTAACGGATAATTTATTCGCTCTTGTCTTTTCTATGCGTGTTTGTTTTTTTAATCGATATTTATGTACGAGTAAATTTGCCAAGCCTATTTTTTGTGGAGAGAAAGAGGGAAATTAAAGGAGGTTTGGAGGGAAAATTGTGGCGCCAGTGATCAGATTACAGATGTGAGGTTAGATTAGTCGGATTTGGACGCCACTGGTTGCAAACTCAGTAAGAATTAAATTGTGTACTAAATTTTCTGGCAATTTATTATTTGAGAATAAAGTGTGAAGAGTTTTTTGTATTTTTTTTGGCAATTCATTTAAAAACAACCTGTATACCTTCAAAAACTTCCTAGACCCGCAAAATATGGAGGGGGAAGTGCGTTCTCTCTGTGTTTTACAGCGTACACTTTCCCCCACCACTATTTGCGGGTTTCCCCTAAACTTTTCCCGAAATTGGCTCTAATTTTCAAGTTTTAAAAAAACAAAAAACATTTTCGAGTAAATCTATTAATTTAAAAGATTTCAGAATAATAAAATATAAAAAATCTTGTTCCAACCTCAAGTAATGCCCAATTATTCCCCTTATAAGTGAATATGTATATTAATGTGCCTTCTATATGTATAGAAAATATCACAATTCCATCCAATTCATACTCGTATTATAAATCAAAAAATAAGCATCGATTTTATTCCACTTTCCAATAGAACATACATCATTCCCTATAATTAAATATTTTATACCCTCAGCCACCTGCGCATCGAGTTAAATTTTTAAAATCAATGAATATAGTATGCCACCTATAAAGCCATAAAACCCACTCGACTCACAACTCCACTCCACTTCATTCCACCTTGTCCCAATGTAGACATAACATTAACTTCGAATATGTCAGTAAAACCCTCATTCCTACTCATCATCTGCTTAGTAGTCTACTTCTCCAACATAACCTCAACAGATGCCTCCTCTCAAACAAAAGGTCTAACAAAACGTGCTTTACAAAAAGACCATGAAAAACCCCAAGCTGAAAAATGGTTAGACGCATTCTTCGGACGCACCCAGACCTTTGACCAAGTCCCATCACTAGTAAACCTTATCACAGTGATAACAAAAAACTTCCTCACTGGTTGCACCAGTATAATCCTCTATGACTCCGTAGTGGAAGAAGGAGATGGATTACTCCTCGAACAACTATTCCGCATCTATCCCACTCCATTTGTCCATGGTCAAATAACCAACAACTACAAAATCAAATACCCTAAAGTCCTTAGCAGTACTGGTAACACCTGTGTATCCTACATAATGTTCATGGCGGATGTAATGAAAGCCAAAGACGTCATCGGGGAACAAAGCGAGAACAAAGTGGTCATAGTCTCAAGGTCATCACAATGGCGCGTGTATGAATTCCTAGCAAGTGAAGTAGCACGGGTTTTTGTAAATCTTTTAGTAATACAAAAGTCAGAAAAAATCCTCTACACAGGCGTAGAAAGCTCTTATATCCAATACACCCATAGAATGTACGTTGATGGTATCGGAAGCAGTGAACCCGTCGTGATCAACTCATGGAAAGATAACAACTTTACAAGATGGACGAATATGTTCCCTATGAAAATGGCGGAAGGTTTCGCTGGGCATAGATTCATCGTGGGAGTAGCACACCAACCGCCATTTGTTATAAAAATAGTAAACCCGGATGATAATACCATCACATGGGATGGGATTGAGTTGAGGATGTTGAATATGTTATCAGAACAATATAATTTCACCACAGATGTAAGAGAATCAAAAAATGTGGATTATTATGGGTCTGGAAATGCGGTAACTCATGATATCTCTTCGAAACGTGCCCAGTTGGGTATTGGTGGTGTATATGTCACTCCGGAACGCTTTGCTCAAGTGGATGTCTCCGCAGCGCATTCACATGACTGTGCTGCGTTTATAACCCTTTCATCAACGGCCCTTCCAAGGTTTTAAGGTTAAAAGTATGAAAATTTTAATAAATTGTTTAAATTTTTAGATATCGTGCGATTTTTGGTCCGTTCCATTGGACAGTCTGGTTATGTGTAACTTTAATCTATCTCTTTGCCATTTTCCCGCTGGTTTTATCAGATAAACAAACCTTGGCCCCTTTGTTGAAAAACCCCGAGGAGATTGAAAATATGTTCTGGTATGTTTTTGGTACCTTTACAAATTGCTTCACCTTCAAAGGACCTGCTTCCTGGGGTAGTTCAGAAAAGGTCACCACCAGGGTCCTGGTTGGCTTCTATTGGATCTTCACCATTATAACAACTGCTTGTTATACTGGATCTATCATTGCTTTTGTTACTCTACCGATTACACCGCAGACTATTGATACAACTGCACAACTTGTTAAGGGAAGATATCAAATTGGAACACTTGGTATGTATATAACCTCTAAATATATATTTTTTAGGTTATAAATGTTTTTTTTTTAATTTTTTTAATTTAGATCGTGGTGGTTGGGAATATTGGTTTGCCAACTCAACGGATGCGCACACAGATAAATTATTCAAGACGATCGAATACTTGCCCAATGTCCAGGCGGGTTTGAGGAACGTGACCAGAGCGTTCTTCTGGTCGTACGCGTTCCTCGGCTCGCGAGACGAATTGGATTTTATCGTGCGCACCAACTTTACGACGCAGTAAACATAAAAACCAGCACGGTTTTAAGGGGCGACTCGTGATGTAAATATTTATTTATTTTTCTAGGAGCAAACGGAACATACTGCATATCAGTGATAATTGCTTTGCGCCCTATGGCGTCGCTTTCCTCTTTCCGTTAAATTCCATCTACCAGTCTACTTTTAATCGTGGGATACTCAATGTTGTACAGAGTGGATTTATACAGAAACTTAAAAATGATGTGGAGTTTGATATCATGCGCAGTGCGACTGGGAAATTGTTACAGGTTAGGTTAAGTGACATAACCTCAATTATTTTCTATTTTATTAGTGATTTTGTTTTGATAGGCTAATGTTGGTGGTAAAATGCGATTGATTATTCAAGATCGTGCGTTGTCTTTGGATGATACACAAGGAATGTTTTTATTGCTCGGTGCGGGTTTTTTACTCGGTGCTTTTTCATTGATATCTGAATGGTTGGGTGGTTGCCTAAATTTTTGTAAGCGTAGAATACGTCGTTTGAGCACTACAAGTATTGGAAGTAATCCTAGATCTTACGATTCGCCTACTCCAAGAGAAAAAGTTGGTTCTTTGGAGTATAGTATTCATACACGTATGCATAGTTTCTCGGATGGTCCGCCCACAACAGAAGTCGAGGAGAGTGTGCATATTGTTTCGAATGGTATTGCGCAAGAGATATTAATACATCACCAACATCAACAGCATAAAATTGAGAAGGAGATTGAAGAAATTGAAGATAATCATTGTTCTTCTGCTGGTGTTGATGTTAAAGATGATGTTAATGATGCGAAAGATATGAATTTTGATGAAGAGATTGATAAGGCGTTTGATTTGGAAGATATGTTGTTTGGAGAGATTAGTGGCACTGATAATGAAGAAGAAAACGAAGTGAAAGAAGAATTGCAATTTACTGAAGGACAAATTGCTTTTACCAATTGATAATGCATAATATTTCACGAAATAAATGTTTAGTTTGGTGTTTCTTGATGGTATCAACACGTAAAGTATTTTAAAATAACAAAAGTACAACGTTTTTAGTACAAAGCTAGATTTTTAACTCTTTTAAGAGATTTTTGCATGTAATTGATTAATATATAACCAAAAAACGATTGAATACCGCTTAATAAACAAATGGGTTAATGGCTTAAGTAATAGTGACTTAAATATGCACCTACCTTAAATAATTCCCCGAAAATGAATTTTCTTTGGAACCCATTCACTTTGTTTAACTTTAAGACACTTTATAACTACTGTTATACACTTTATATCTACTAAACATGTTTGAACATGTTTGGCACTGTTTGTAAACAAAATAAAAATAACGATAATGCAGCTGCAACTATCTATAGTTAACATAGTTGCGGCCTAGGGGGCAGCACAATGCAGGGCCTGATTGTAACTCACTGACTCCAATGTATTTCCTGCAGTTACACACACGCAACTTTGTATACATAGATGTAAGAAAATATGCAGTTTTATAAAGCTAACTTAACACTTAAATCAATATTCAGAGCGTAAATATATTAAAGTTTTAAATTAAACCATTAATTATAATTTATAATAATAGTTTTTAGCAGATGTTAAATGTGTTATAAGAATTTTATACATTATTTAGCTTATTTTTATTTAAATTTGTGTAAATTTACCTTAAATATACTAAACTAGCGCCCTCCTACTACATTTTCAAAAGCACTTGCACTTGATTTCCATCCTTCAACCTTCAATATTTTCTGAAGGCTCTGAAAAGCTCTGAAAGTGTTCCAGGACTATGTGCCCAACTAAATATAAACTAATTAAATAATAATAACTCGTTTCGTTCACCTTGGCTAGTGAACGCACGGTGTACATACCGCCATGGCTGGACTGAACAACTACAACAATCCCTACATCAACCAACTGAACCATCCATACAATCCAAATGTTCCATTCAATCCTGTGAATATGAACATGTATGATGAAGTACAGGATCAATGGGCAAATGATCCAGAGCGGCACAATCTAATGCACGCTGTGCCACAGCCTGCGATTCCGAGAAACGCATCGTTTAATAAAATCACTGAAGAAGGTAAGAAAGAAATCTGTCAAATCAAACATGTTTTTGATGATATTTTGAGTTTAAATCAATTATTAATTGAATATTATTTATTGTAGATGTTGTTGTTAAGAAGTATGTGAGTACTGGCGTGCAGGTGGTTAGTTTAATAGCAGAAAACTTGTTGTGCCATCCATTTGTAGTCCTCAGACGACAATGTCAAGTAAGTTTCAATTTTTACTGAAAAAGCTGCAATTTTTATGCTAAAATTTGTGTTTTTTAAGGTGCATTCAAATGCAACCCGATCACACATAGTACCAATCACATTAGTACCCGTAATCTGCCATCTGCACCAACATCAAAGCATAACAACTCTATGGAAAGGTCTGGGGTCAACCCTGCTCATCAGAGGCATGCATAAAGGTGTCGAGGACCTGCTCTCTAAAGTTACACCATGGCCCAAGTAATAATACCAAAAATAATCAAATTATTCACGAAATAAACTAAAAATTTATGTAAAATTTTAGAGAAATCAGTTGGTACAGCTCTTTAAAGCAGTTCTTTCAACATTCTCTTCTTAAATGGTAAATATTTTTAAATGTTCTGATAAAAAATAATAATTTAAATGTTTTAGTGTGACCATAGCAATAATTACCCCGTTTTACTCCGCGTCACTGGTCGAAACCGTGCAGTCGGACATCGCCAGTGAGAAACCCGGCTTATTGGACATCTTCCGCGAAGGTTTCATGCGTCTAATCACATGGAACACCAGCCCAAAGGGACGAATGTTACCCATTTGGGCATTGGTGTTACCCACGGTGACTCTAGGCATCGCTAGATACTTTCTGCAGATTGTGGTTGAAGGCACCGCGTCTCGAATCATGCATATTCGATACAGACACAAACAGGAGACGACAGGCGCGATGCCAAGGAACTTACCGAGCACTGCAGCCGTGCAGGAGATTGAATTCCACGCGGCGCTTATTGGTACTGTCGTCAGCGACGTCGTGTTTTATCCATTTGAGACTATTTTACATCGTTTACATCTTCAGGTAATCACAACTATTTAAAAATAACATTTTTATAATAATTTGATGTCTAAAACAGGGAACTAGAACAATCGTGGATAATTTAGACACAGGTCGATCTGTCTTACCAATCCTGACGAATTACTGCGGTCCAGTTGACTGTTACGAAGCCTGTCTGCGAAACGAAGGCGTTTTTGGTTTGTACAAAGGTTTCGGCGCGTTGGTACTTCAATACGCGGCGCACATCGCTGTTATTCATATAACCCGCTTCGTTCTGACGGAAGTTACCAATATTCTGCATAAATCACCGAAAAAGGTGCCGCCATCTTCGGAGAATTCACCACCTGTTATTACCAACGTGAGCGTGCCCGGACAAACGTACCTTCTGCCGTAAACCCGTCGCCATCTGCATTAATTGGGGCAAGTAGTGACTTTTCTACAGCAAGTAATGATTTATGAGATATTTAGAGTGTCAGGTGAGTGTCACGGTGACACACGAGTCAAAAATGATTAAGAAATGAGAATTACAGTGGAGTTAAGTTATACAAAGTGATTACGTACGAATGGTTGAAACATTTACATTTGTTTTTGTTGATTGTTGTTCCTAAGTTAAATAAATTAGCGACTGTATCATGTTGTTTCGATTTTCAGTATTATTTCATTGAAATTTTGTTTTTTTTTTCGCTATAATTCACAGAATGATACTAAATTTGTTTAGGTGATTAACAATTATGCAGTAGAAAATAATTTGAACATGATTGTTTTAAAAAATCGTGAAGTTTGGTTAAAGATAACCTAAAAAAACCTGAATTATGGGTTTTCTGATAATCACAAACTAAAAATTTTAAAATAATTCCAAAGATAATGTAGTTTTGTAGCTGTTTGGATCAAAATCATTAAAAAATATTCGATAATAACAAAATTATAGCGATTTTCATCAAATTTTCAAACTTTTCGCATTGTTTTTGATACAAAATAATGAATAACATTTAAAAAAATGATTCCAAAGATAAACTAAATACATTCCTCATGAATAGCGCAGTCTTTCATTGAAATTAAACTAATATGTGATGTTTTCGATTGTAAAAATCAATGAAAATATGATTTCCGACTGAAAGTACTAATCGTTGCGAATATACTGATTTCAATCATAAATACAAGTCATACAATATTACTTAGCACAATAAATCGTTACATTACACAAGTCTTCGCGTCGACTTACAAATTATGAACATTTGACATGCAAAAGAAATCCAACAAAAGTCTAAAAATTAATTACTATTCCGTGATCATACACACACTCATCATCCTGGTGCTTAAATGTTTACATGTGTTTATAATTACATATGTTGGTCATGACGATGTGAAAATATTTCCCTATCAACTACGATTTTCTCTCCGCTACTATCTTTCTTCCCTCGTCCTCATAATTTGTGATCATTACATTAATATTCGATATTTGAAAATTTTGAGATGCGACCGCAGGTTCAAAGGCACTCTGCACGTACAGCACGACAAAGAATTTGGTGTGATATCACAAACATGAAGGTTGAACTGAACCGAATGTCGTCTGGCAGTGATATTTACAAACTATCTTTATGAGATCATAGCTCATACGTTTTCAATTTTTAGCGTTTTTAGTTTTTTTACAATATTTATCTATACATGCTTATGCTTCTTACACCGTAGTATCACTGAAAAACCGTCCGCGTAAAGCAAAACATTCATTCTAAATTTACAGTTGTACATTAGTTACAGGTGGCAGTGTTGTTTTCGAATCCGTTAATTAACTACAATTAGTCCGCGTCGGACGCGGCGTCCACGTCGATTAGTTATGACGGAAGGCGGTAGGCTTCGTTGGACGCTGGCACAGCTGGATGCAGGACAAAACTATCGTAGACATCCATCAACTCCTCCAGTTTGTATTCCTCCAAGCAGACAAAACCTTCCAGATTCGCGGATTGTTTACGTGCGCAGTCCATGCAATGCACAACGTGGCGTTTTTCTTGCTCACGGATGAACAGAATATTAAAAACTTCAATCTAAAACAAAAAAATTAATTATTTTAGGTTATAAACTTGAATATTATCTTGAATTTGTTTAATATTTACCTCACACTGTCCGCAGTAATGTGAAGCTTCATTTTTCCCTCTGCCATGGAACTTTACATCAACACCTTTACCTCGAGCAAACTCTAGTGTCATTGCACACTGCCTTAAAGTCCTCAGCAAACATTTCCTTCGAAAAAAACATAAATTAAATAAAAATCAATAAAATCAAACAAAATTCAACTTACTTTATCAACGCAAACAACTTCGGATCAGAAACCTTGATATTCCTCGCCAGATTCCACGACAAATGCAGCATAGGCACAATAGACTTATAACTCTGCAGTTTATTCCATTCGTACCTCTCAATAGCCAAATTATACTGTCTCGCTGTCAAAGGTCCAACATTCCATGCAATATTATTACACCAGCCAACTGCTTGCACCCAATGCACACAACCTGCATTCACCCAGACTAAATCCCCCGGCCGTTGCATAAACCTATACACCGGTATATTACTCTTGTGTAGGTCATCCAACACAGGCCACCATGATCCATGCAGATAATTTATCTGATTCTGATCGCACAGGGCACACACAGCGCCCCAATACGCATCTGGTACAGCAAACCATTCACAATCACCGGGACCAATGTTGATATTAATCGAACAAAAGTTATTGTTCTCTTGATGTCCTGGTGTTCGACTGCCTGGGACTTTCATATACAATTGTACTGTATTCATCCCGAGGATAACATGCCCTACATGTGATAACATGTTACCCGCAGAGACAACCCTAGCGAATGCTGGTAATTTCATGAGTTCTTGTAACTGTGAGCGCCATTTTCTCTCATCGGACAGGTCGACATTCGTGCCAAACTTTAAAGTTTTCGGTGAATTCGCATTCTTGACATTATTAGAAGGCGGTGTTGGTAGGGAACCCTTCTTTCTTCGTTGAAAACCCGTGGAATCCTTCGAATCCGAGTCTGAGAGGTTATAACCACTTCCGGAAGTCTTATCTCCTTCAGCTTTTAACGAATCTTTGAAACTCGACGCTTGGTATTGCGCGTATCTTGCAATAGTTGTATGTGATCGGTGTGAAACGCATGACCAAACCTTACGACCTGATTGCGGGTCCCAATTCTCATCCGATGGTTGTTGGTACTGTGTGCGCACTTCCACAGAATGATCAGGATTGGCTTCCACTAAAGTTTTAGTAGAAAACAACCCTAAATCTAATTTAAGTGCTGATGCAAGTCCCCTTACAACAGCAATAGGGTGTTTCAGACAGAATTCCTGCAATTGTGGACTAAACGCATGTTTTTTATTGTCCAGATACACCGAGGGAGTAGGTGGTAGCAATTGTTGTTGGTTAAGTTTCTGTGGGGGTGGTTCAGGCGCAGCTGGAGGTGGCGCATGGTCAGAAATCAACGAATTACTAATCTCACCTTTGTTGCCTTCACCTCTACACAGCTCAATAATCATCTTCGCGTCCATGTTGATATTGAATTCGGACTCTGGTCGCTTCCCTGATGAATTTAAACTTTCCATCTCCCATGGCAGTTCGTTTTTCACCGCGAGGATATCCTGCGTTGGTGACTTTGACTTGGACTTACTCTTGACTCCTTTCACATCCAACTCTAGTTTGTTATCAGAGTCATTATGATGATTCGGGGAGAATTCATTTGTAGAAAGTGGATCCAACGATGGTTCTTCTTTGATATCATCAGAACCAAAGTGTTTCAATAGATTTTCCGCTAGGGCAGTCGCCAGGTCTTTATGGGATAAAAGATCTTTGATATCTTCTTCTGATACACCTAAATCTGATTGTCCTCCTCCGGGCATATTAGGACCAACAGTTAACGAAGGTTGATGTAGTTTGTATTGCTGATTACTGTTATGCGGACGTTGGTTTTGACTACTTGGCGGTTGTTGTCCTTGTCGATTACGCATCTGTTGTTGGTGTTGTTGCATAAGTCTATATTGCTGTTGGAGTTGTTGCAGCGTGGTTTGTTGTGTTTGCGTAAGCGTGGCAGGGTTCTGTTGTTGCAGACATTGCAGAATTTGCTGTTGTTGCGGATTGAGGTAAAAGGACGGAGTGGTTGTTGGTGGTGATGACTTTTCGGGTGTTTCTGGCTTGAATCTCTTCGTGGGACATGCGGCTGGTGATGGGTAAGGTGGTGGTGGACCTTGGGGAGCACCTGCAGCACCTACAGCAGCGCCATTACCACCACCAGGAGGGTTGTAGTTCTTTTGAAAGGATTGTGAATTCGCGTTGCGGTTGTTGCCCGCACCAGCGGTCTGTTGTTGTTGGCGGGATGACATCTCAGCGGAAATGGGGAGATTCCACGCCTCTTCGATGGACAACAACTGTCGTCTCCTAATTTTAATCATAATAAATTAAAAACTAATTAAATAAAGTGTAAATATTGTGTGAATTATGTATCTACCTATTATCATGCAGTGTGTGTGTGTGTGATTTTTGTGTTGTTGTGTGAGCGAAGACTTACGAGTTGGTGATGCTCGGCATCGGACCGCTGGAGAGGTGCGTCTGGAGGAAGTTGATGCGTTGCGTGAGATGGGGATTCATGCCAATGGCGGGCAGCGCCGTCTTGGGCGCTTTCGAGGCGAGGTTCTCTTCGACGGTGCCGCGGTTGTTCGAACCGCGATTCGAGTTCAGGTAGCAGGCGTACGCGTCGCGCGCCTGCCCGCAGCTTTCGTAGAGGATGCCCAAGTTGGCCCACGCCGCGGAGTGACACTTATCTAATTGGACGGCGCATATGTACGCCTGCAGTGCGTCCATAGGCTGACTCTGCTGTTGATAGAGCACTCTGAAAGAAAAACAGTCAAAATTTATTTTTAAAAAAGTGATTTTTTTTGTTTATAGTTAAATTTCAAAGCAATTAGTCATCGAATATTTCATGAGATTATCTTATATTGAAGGTAATTAACTAAGGAATCCAATAAGTGCTAGTTTGAGTTGTGATTTATCTTAAGAAGTATAAAAAAACGTTTTGAAGTTGATGCTTTGGGATATTAAAATTATTAGTTTTGATATTCTGGTCATAACATTAATCCATCATAACTTTTCATTAAAACGTCGCAAAATATCGTGAGATATGTCATTGGAAAGAGAATTTAAAACGGAATTAACTCATAAGTGTTTCAAAACTATACATGTTACCATATTTAAATTATAAGCGATTAAAGAGCAGTCTGCACATTTTTCTGAGAAATCGCAATTTTTACTTTGAAAGCACATTTCTAGGAAACTAATCATCATATATTTAAAAACTTTAGCTTATATGATAGATAATTAACTAAATAATCAAATAAGTTGTTTTGGAAATTTTGATACACCTTAAGAAGTCCATTAAATTCATTCAAAGTTAAGAAAACATTCAAAAATGCAAATTTTTCATTTTCGTTTTTTTGGTCATAAAATTAATCCGTCATAACTTTTGATCACAAAATCACAAAACATCGTGAGATATGTTATTGGAGAGAGAATTTAAGAGAGAATAATCTCATAAATATTTAAAAGATTTACAGGTAGCCATATTTAAATTATTTATGATTGAAGTGACTTCTGCATATTTTTCCTTAAAAAACGCATTTTTATTTTAGAAGCAAATTCCCAACGAACCAATAATCCCAAATTAACAAATTTCATCACATCTAATAGAGTATGAACCAAAGAATCAAATAAAACCAAAATAATTTTTGTGGAAAGATTTAAACCACTTCTAGAGGCTTCAAAAGTGAACTTACCCTATAGAGCACCAAGTATCCGCATTCCCCTCCGACTTCTCCACACTATTGCGATACGCGATGAAAGCGTCGTGCACTTTGCCAATCGAAGCGTAACAACGCCCCAACAAATAAAGCGTTTGTCCTGAGCAAGGATCAGCGGCTATTGCTTGCTGCAAACAACTGATTGCCGACGGTATACGCTGATGTTTCTCGCCGAGAATGTCATAACAATGATACAACCATCCTAAACAACAAAAACAAAACAAAAAATCAAAAAACCTCTAATAAACTCCCATAAAATCATAAAAAAATCATATAATTTATTTAATTATCAATCAACCTAATTGGCGGAAAATGTCAGCTCGCAGCGGATTACTCAGCGACTTCTCTCGCAGCAGCAGCTCATACTTCTCCTTGGCGATCTTCACTTTCCCTTGCACTTCGAACAAGTGCGCGATGTGGAATCTAACTGCAAGCAATCAAATAGAAATCCATTAATGACAACAAAAACCAATAAACGATCCCGTTATATTCACATTATATAATCGTACACATAGTTGCATGTGCATCAACGCAAATAGCCACGATCCCATCCGCTAGAGTTTCTAATTCGTGCCAAGGCTGCGCACACATTCACACACAGGACAAAAACGCGCGTTGCGCGCGTGCAATTCGCGTACGCTTCCATACAATTTGCGAAAGGTCAGTTATATTGTTCGCCGCGCAGTCTTAAACCATCACCATCACCACAATCACAAAATAATTACAAAATGCACTTACTTTTATCCTTCTCAGTCGTACAAGGATTATTATCGGCCAACGCCAGTTGCAGATGCTTCAACGACGACTGATAATCCTGCGTGACCTTGAAGATCAACCCCAGGCGCAGGTGGACCTCGTTGGCGCGCTGGAAATTCGGCGAGACGTACAACAACTGTTGGAATACTTTAACAGCCCTGAAATCAACAAAAAAAAAATTAAAATTTACATTGGGGTCAAAGATGGTTCAACTAAAATTGGAGCAAGTGGAAAAAAATCATTATTACATGTTTGTATGTGTGTACATGGTAAACTAGGTCAAGAGATAATCTTTTCGTGCCACAAAATGAAAAAAGCACACTTATCACCTGTGGAGTGAAAAATAAAGTCACGCATGTCGCCTTATCATCCAGGATCTGGGTACTAGGTAATAACCCGGGTGGCGAATGTATGCAACACGCGTCAAATCTGCATAAATTAAAAACAACGCGCCCCTATACCGGAAATTGCACGTTTTATATAATATTTAATCGGTTTGAATGCATGTATATCATTGTATTATGATGTTGGTCAAGAGACCTGTGTGTGGACGGATCTACCTGTTCGCGGCGTAATGGACGAACTCGCCCAACTCGCGGTCATTGACGCGCTTTCAAGGTTACGGCCGTCTGCTGCGCACTTTCAGCTTTCCTCGACTTGCGTGTTGTCTTATGTGGCCATTGCTCCTCCAGGATAATATAAATTACTCCTGGGGGTTAGCGAGAGGTCATCGGATGGGACCTGCCTCAACTATATTCTAAATTGTAAATTCTAAAATGGTGACAAATATGGCGGGTTGATTTAAAAACCGCAAAGCAGAGAGAGGTTATTACCTCTTTAGAAACAAAAAGGAGGTACCGTTAGCTGGTATACGAGTATATAGTACCATACACGCCTTGTACGAGTAAAATATATTCACGTTTGACTTAAGTTTTAAGTTTAAGTTAAGTTTGTGAGTAGACACCGCACTTCTTTGCGTTTATATTTAGTTTCAATGTGTGGCTATGGCTATGTGTCTCTCCTCAGGTTGTTTTATTTTATTCACGTGTTCTATTCGTATCTAGCAGCAGGAGAAATAAATTCTATTAAAAGCTTTCCATTTATTTCATCGCGCTCCGAGTGCTTGACCTTTTTCAACTCAAAAGTAGCAATAAGTGTAGAGAGGATTGTAAATTTATAAGAAATGTTGTAATAAAATTGAATGGTAAATAATAAGGATGATGTGGAATCGTGTGGGGTGTTGTTCATCAGGTGCGTACGGATTATGGCACTTATACAACACTTGCGTTTCTCAAGGCATGCTGTAAGTGCAGTGCAGGAAGGAAGCAGATGCGATGGAACAGCTGAACAGCTGGTGGCGAGGAAAGCTCTCGGGGAGACAGCTGCGGATGGCACGTACGGGCACAATGAACAGGTTAACGTCGAATCATCATCAGACATCACATATTACAATATCTATGAGAGATAAAAGTGATTTATATATTCTACTAGTAAAAATCCAAGTAGTTCTTAGTAAAAATATAATTAATTATTTAATTTCTGGTTTCTAGGACTTAGAATTGTTGATTTCATCAATAAAAATTGTAATTTTATTTAAAAGAAATAAGAAATGTTAATAATGTACTTTAGCGCCATCTAGATTTGAATTATTTAACTATAACTACGATTGAATCTCCATATAAATTTCCATCCCTTATTTAACACCCTTTAAATCACAATTTTTAATATTTAAATAATTATTCTCCTATTCGAATCTTAAACAAACCTAATAAATCATAAATCATTAAAATCCATCCAGCAGTTCACGAGTTATAAATGCTTAAACTAACAAATACGTTTAAAATTCATTTATTGATGAATATTGCTTAATTTATTAGGCCTGGTGTTTGTAACATCTTGAAATAGTCTACGAGATGATGGTTGGGTGGTGAACACACGCCCGAAGGTTATAGACGAGACGCAGGTGCCCATCGGATGAAAAAGGAACAAAAGGCTTTCGAAAAGTAAAATAAAATAAAAAGCCCAAAAGCACAAACAACATTTTTACGACGGCTTCTGTTCTTTTGTTATAGTCTTCCAACTGCCGAACAACAGGTATGTAATAATATACAATATATTTAATGCAGCAGCTACAGTTCTGTGTATTGCTTTCTCAGAACATTAGTATTTTTAAAGGGAAAGAAGAAAATATAGCTTAAACATACAAAGGTGCTGTAAAGTATCCAGAATTAAATTAAAATATGTTGTAATTTTTTTATTAAATTGTGAAAAATAAGTGAAAAACTGCTTTTCGCCAACTAAATTCTAAGTTTATAAAAACTCCTATCAGCAATTAAATATTTTATTAATTTTATTTAAAAATAAACGCAGAATATTTCACAGAATTCGATTTTGAATGAATTTTTTCTCTTATTCATTTAAACTAAAAGTTATTAACGGAAAAAGTTATTTAGCTTTAAAAGAAGCCTTAAGTAAATCCTAGTACAAAATTAGATTACTAAATTAATTAGTTTGCGAATAAAACAAGAAAAAACAATTTCTCTTAAAGACATGTTAAATTTACTAATAACTCCCATAAACAATCAAATATTTTACTAATTTTATTTATAAATAAATAGAGAATTAATCACAGAATATAATTCTGAATGAATTTTCTCTCTACCTCTTTTAATTTATAAGTTATTAAACAAAAACTTCCATCAAACAATTTTTTCTTTAAACTTACAAATCATTTTCTTTACTCAGAAAAGATTACAGCGAAACCCAACACACCTCAGTTGAATCACCTGATTGTGTTATATGGTATTGTATTGAGTAATAGAAATAACAGTTGTCTAGTCCATGTAGGTTGTTAAAGTTGTTAAAGTTCAAACTTGAATCAACCTCCACGTATTTCTATGTCTACTATGTCTACATTCTATGCAATGCATAATGTTTGGGTGTGCGTTTGGTAGACATAAGCGCCCACCGAAATCGCACGTAGACCAAGCCCAGAGCCGCGTACGGGACCCGGGTCCACCCTAATCCAACTATTATTTCGAAAATCGGAGGGTGCACACTACACAGGCAGAGTAACAGCAGACTAGCGCCGGTCGGTCGGTTGAAAACCGTACTCGTACCGAATACGAACTTCTACAGTATAAGTACACACAGTACACACACAGAAAGAGAATAAACGAACGTAGGCTATAAATGGAAAATGGAAAGCAAACTTGGGCCGCCCTACGAAAAAAGGGCGAACATCTGGCCTCTGAAGCGCTCTGCTTCTGGATTTATCGAACATCATCGCTTCCGTTGCGGATTGCGCTTTACACACAAGCACAATGACGCAAACTGGCGTTGATTATTTTATGTCAAACAGGAAGTTTATCACCGTCAGAACATAACTATCATATGGGAAATTTAAATTTAAACATTTAAGCATAAGGTAATGATTCACTTGCTCACTAATTTTATACAACAATAATTATCTAGTTATAAATGAGTCATTCATTAAAGAATCATCGTCATAATGAAGGGTTACGGTTACGATAAAAATCTATATATGTATATAAAAGTAAGTAGTGTTAGTTACAACATTTATAACTCAAAAACGACTGGACAGATTTTGATTATTTATGATTTTTTGGATTTGTCTTTGCCTAGAATAAGAGAATAACTATTAAAATATTAAAAATTATTACTTAAAGAGTGTTAAATAAGGGATGGAAGTTTATATGGAGATTTAATCATAGTTTTAATTAAATAATTGACTCCTAGATGGCGCTAAAGTAAATTATAAGCATTTTTCATTTATTTTCAATAAAATTATGAATTTTATTGATGAAATTCACGCAGAAAATAAAAAATTACGTTTTTACTCCAAACTAATTAAATATTTATAACTGACTCATTCATACATTCATTCAAAGATGATGAATATTTCACCGAAGAGTTTCGTTTACATTTAGTTTTTTTTTTTCTTCCTGTTTCACTAGTAATTTATAATAAATATTAACATAGTAATTGTAAGGTATGAAAAAAACACACACAACACCGGAGATACGTGGATGGAAATATACGATATGCATTACTTACGTCTCGAATTACACGTTTCGTTCGTTTCGTTTCGTTTCGCAAGCACGTTGTTGCATTTGCACGAATGTGTTTGTGTGTGTGTGTTGCCAGTCATGCATACAAAAACTGCTGCATATTGCATTGTGCACGGCGTGTGCATACAAAGACATGACAAGACACAAACCACCGTAAGAAAATCCTACACACGCCGCACTATAGATACACTGAGGTACACATATGGTGTGCTTTCAATGTTGCAATCACAATCTCGCAATTAAAAACTTCCTACAAGTAATACACTCGTATATGTACAAGCAAGGTTTAAATTGAGGCATACTCGTATTCTATTCATGTTTTGTGTGTGTTTTAATCATTAATTACACGTCAATACCGAGGTATCATGCATGTGTCATTAACTATGTTATTAGCTTCAATTTCTGAGAAGTGATTCAAGAGTTTTATATTTTATATTGGATATTTTTCTGATTGCATATAGGAATTTTGTGTTTACTCGTATAGAGTGAGTTGTTGCCATGATATCTGTTATCAGGGTGTAGTATTGAGTGTTGACAAACAAATGTTATCAGTTATTCCCACGTTTTATGTTTGGTTATAGTCTATACTCGTACCTTTATAAATACCGCTTGAAGTTATTTATATAAAAAGGAAAAAAATGCATTTTTATTAAGTGATGTTTGTATTGCGGTGTGCAAAACATGTTTTATCAATTAATCAATGATATTAACTGATTAATTATTTTAAAAAGTAAATTTTATCTTAATAAATATATTCTACATTAAATTCTGTGTCTAAATATAGTAAGAATTATGATGTAGATTGTTTTGTGTTGTAGTTACATACAAATGAAGTTATATTATATATTTTTAGAAAAGTAGATATATATATTGATTTATAATGGGGTCAATAGACTTAAAAAAAACAGCAGACAGGAAAAGATATGTATATTTAATATTTATTCTTAGTAAATATCCTGTAGTAAATTCTACAATCCTCTAAAAAAAATATGTAGAATACGGGTGACTATGTAATTAATGACTGAAAAACTAAATTTAGAATATCGATTCGTTGAAAAATCAATTTT